TAAATGTTAACATTTTTCGGGCAAACGGCCTTCGAGAAAGTGGCATTCGGGCATTTGCCGCATTCGGGCAAGTGTCCATTCGGGCGTTTGTCGCATTCGGGCATGTGTCCATTCGGGAAATCAGCCTTCGGGCAAACGGCATTCGGGCAAGTGTCCTTCGGGAATTCGTCGTAGACCCTATATATATATATATATATATATATATATATATATATATATATATATATATATATATATATATATATATATATATATATATATATATATATGATTTTAACATTTATTTTAACATTTATATTTATTTTAACATTATTTTTAACATTTATTTTAACATTTATTTTAATATTTATTTTTACATTTATTTTACATTTACTTTGACATTTATTTTTACATTTATTTTTACATGTTTTAAAAAAAAAAATTAACATTTATTTTAACATTTATTTTAACATTTATTTTAACATTTATTTTAACATTTATTTTAACATTTATTTTAACATTTATTTTAACATGTATTTTTACATTTATTTTAACATTTATTTTAACATTTATTTTAACATTTATTTTAACATTTATTTTAACATTTATTTTAACATTTATTTTAACATTTATTTTAACATTTATTTTAACTTTTTTTTTACATTTATTTTTACATGTATTTTTACATTTATTTCAGGCATTTTCAAGTTAGAGTAACATAGGAGGCTTTAATAAATGTGTTAAGGATGACTAAGTGTTAAAAGGTTTGTTACAGAATATTTAGAATTGTATGATTTCATCTATGTAGCCTAACCAAGCTTTCACTCAACGGAAACTGGATGTAGTGACACCAAAACAGAGAATAGAGAAATCGATCACTACCAAAACAGAGAATAGAAAAATCGATATATATATCAATATATGTATGCTTCGATAGCATAGGCCTACACAGTCGACAATCATGCCATGTATTGTTATGCATAAATAACGGACAGTTCGTCTTTAGACCCTATCTCTACATTACAGACACACACTCCCAAGTGTGATCTCCCCAGTGTAAACAAGATATGGGATATAGCTTAAACAATAGCATGACGAGCTGACAGTTAACGATGCGAATAGATGTAATTATAGAATACCATATTTAAACACGTATGATAACTGTAATGCTAAACCTTCCTGGTAAAGAAACCGGATTGTAAAACAACGAAGTGATATTTTGTCTTCTACGTATTCGGTTACCAGCAAAATAAGCAAGGCTTGGGTTCACGAAAAAAATATCTTTGTAGATCCTGTAATAGTAAACCTGATGACGTACAAGTATATACGGCTTATGTTCACTTGTCGCTCCCTTTCCCCCACTAACCTAGCTACATCCTACCCGCCCCCCGCTACCCCTATCTACGTCATTCCTCTGACGCTAATCAGGAAGCCTGGCTATATAAATGGTCGCACACAAGAGGTTTTAACATAAAACCAAACGATTTCTTATTCAGTCGACAATATTTTGGTACTCGTCTGGACAGCCGATTATACAACTGAAGTGTACTTCGTCTCCTGAATTACCGTGAGTTTGAAAATGCAGGCTGATTAAAAGATTAATACCTAGCACAGCTATTTCTCTTTATATATATATATATATATATATATATATATATATATATATATATATATATATATATATATATATATATATATATATATATATATATATATATATATATATATATATATATATATATATATATATATATATATATATATATATATATATATATATATATATATATATATATATATATATATATATATATATATTCATATATATACTTAAGAGCATTTAGAAAGAAATATATCGATCACTAATAAGTAATTTAAAGCAAAAGTCAAAGATTTTGTATGTCTACTGCCTATAACTAATCAAATATATTTTATATAAATGTACACACTTATTCAAAGAGAGACAAAATGCGTTCAACAAATACGGTCCTTGTATTCTAACCGAAACTAACGACTCATTACTGCTGTTGTTTTCCATTTTAAAAATTTTAGTTTTGTTTTAACTTTTGTGATTAAATATTTTGTTTTAACCATTCTATTAATATACGTAACTCGTTTTGAATAAAATTACATTTCAGGAATTATAAACATTAGACATGATTAAAAAAACTTTTAAGATTATGTAAAATCTGATCGTTCTTAGGGGAAAGGTCTATTCTGAAATGATCTCTGTAACTCATGGACTGTTTGTCTTAATTGCAAATAAACTTTGTAGTAACTATTTACGCATTAGTAGCTTTAGAATTCTTTTTTTCAAAATTCACATTTAGCTTTTTGTTTCTTATTTAAATTCAACGGTTGTCTTTTTCTAACAGGTTTTACAGTAAAGATGATTTTGGCCGTGAAGGTCGCGTTGTTGGCTCTCGTGGTTTACAGAGCTGACGCTGGCTGTAGCAGATCAAACTGGTGGACAAGCTTGGACAGGCAGGGACTATCAAAGTGTAAGGATGATAATGATTTCATCTCGGGTTTTTATAGAAGCGACAAATATGATTGGAACGACGACCCCTTGTGGTTGTTGGAAGAAGCGGAATGTTGCACTAGGAACTCGCCTTGGTCAAACTACTCTAAAACACAAACCGTGTATGCTGATTGGTGGCTGACGTTAGACAGAGACAATACTTGGGCTAATTGTCCAGCTGGTTTTTTCCTGAACGGTATTTACAGAAGTGAAAACACCCCAGGTCTCTTACATAACATTGAAGAAGGGAGATGCTCCAAGCCAGCCGACCACCCCTATTACCATGGAGACTGCTATAACCATGATATCACCGCATGCTTTGATAACAAAGGCTTATGTAGATGTTACAACGACTACTACGTCGCTGGTATATATCGCGGTGGTTGTGATAAACTCTATTGTCTAGATACGCTGAGATGTTGTAAGACAGTTTCAGGACCGGAAGAACTAGACGAGCTGTACATGGTGAAGACTCGCATCATGGACACCACGATGTCGGACATGTCTTATCTGGCTCATTATTTGGGTTACGGCTGGTGCTCGGGTTGTAGAGCAGCGTATGTTGGAGAAGATTTTAGAAGAAACGGCGACACTTGGAACGCTGATAAAAGTGGACGCTGTAATGGGTACATGAGTGACAAGCGTCTGAGCATGGCCTACGGTGACTGGAGCTTTGGGATAAAGGACATCAAGTACGGAACACCTGTGATACAAGACTTGACTCCCGAAACGATAGACTCTGGTACCATATATAACAATGACCCGCATAATGCCACAAAGACTATCACGAGATCTGAGACCAGCGTCCGTAGCGTCACCCACACCACAACAAGTTCTTGGAAACACAGCAACGAACTGAATATCCAGGTGAGCTACAAACCACCCTCAGCCACAGGGGGTGCCGAAGGGTCTGTCGGCTACAAGTTCAACTTCGAGAAAAGCACCACAACATCAGATGAAACAAGGAATGTACAGTCGATCACCTTTACGGTTAATACATCTAAAACTCTAAAAGCGAATTCAGCTTCTAAATGGAGCCTCGTCTTGTCTAAAACAAGAACCTCTGTGACCTACACAGCCACCGTTATAGCAAAGTTTTCCTGTGAACTTCAAGGTTTTCTGCGTTGGGGTGGAGGAGCAAGCAGTATCGATACCAACTACCATTACCAGTATCGTGGTAGCGGAGATCGTCCCACGTTTAACTACAGATTTGGTGACTCCAGCATTCCCTTCTACACAGCCCTGAAACGACAAAGCGAAACCAACTCACAGCCTTGGTTGTGGAACGACATCAAGAACGCCTACCCGCTTGCTCAAAGTTTAATTAACGATTTGTGTAATGAAAACAGGTACGTCTTCACAATAACTGGCAGGTTTGATGACGTCATTGGCAAACACGTCCAGTTCCGCTGGGACGGTATACCGTTACGCAAGCGATCAGCCAACCGTGGCGAGGACGTGCCTGATGTCATACACCAGAACTCCACTCACGTCGCCAAGGCTCTGCCTAACGATGTTCCACTGGTGAAGCTTGAGCCTCCTAAAGTCAACATAGAGGTTAAGAACCAAGCCAAGATAGAGAAGCAAGCTCCATCTGGGTTTTAGCCACATCGCACAATCCGTTGAATAATGAATAAAGATAATTTGAAAATTTGAAAGTTATGTTTTTGTTTTTTTTGCTATGTATTATGTCCATAAATCACACGAAGTAAAATTCAGATTTTTTCTTTCCCAAAAAAAAAAACAACAACAAACAAATTGTAAAATAGAGTGGAGTGTAAAGGCCATAAATGGAGTTAGTTTAGCAAGACTTAAGCTGAGTAGAATGATAATGCATTGACTATACAGTGTAAGAGTGAAGTAGAAAAAACAGCGGGCTGGAATTTGAGGTTGCTAATTCAAATAAAATGATGATGAACAACTGACAACAAATAATGATACTTTAAGCCAGCATCTTTTCTTTTTAAAATTCGCCATAAATGTGAAATAAGAAATTAGTCTTTGTTTTACAACCCCTGTATAAAAGTATCGATTTCCATGAAAATCTCGTAAAAGAGATGGATTGCGTTTTGTGTTTTTCTATTTGGTTTAGTAATCTTTAACATAAATCTCCAAATTTTGCAATGTAATCAATGTTTATTGTGTCTTTGATTTATTTTAAGAAATAAAACTGTATTTAAACATGATATATTCCGAACTGTAAAAAAAAAGAAAAAGGTAAACGAAACGCGGAAAAAGGGGGATCCGGACAAAAGGCCGACATGGACAAAAGGCCGACACGGACAAAAGTCCGACATGGACAAAAGGCCAACAAGACAAAAGTCCGACAAGACAAAAGGCCGACACGAAAAAAGGCCAACTGCTCAAAGGCCGACATCCAAAAGGCCGACAAGACAAAATGTCGACACGACAAAAGGCCGACTGCTAAAAGGCCGACATCCAAAAGGCCGACAAGACAAAAGGCCGTCAAGTTTTATAAAACAACAAACTACAGTTTGATAAAGTTATAATACAAAATAGAAACAACTAGGGCCTAGTGTGATAAATAGTATGCTATGCCAGGTAGAATTTCAAGTCTAGTTCTGTTTTCCCTTTATGTTATGACATTTTATCCCACGTCCTTTTCCTGTAAATATTGTTTTTTTTTTCGTTTTATTCATGGCTCACCAAGCAATAATGCCTTCATCTCTACTTCCTTATTCAGGTTTTTTTTTTTTTTTAGCAAACAATAGACTCCATTTTGATCTTTTAAGACGATTACCTGCCACCTCCTGTGCCAACCCTCAACTGCGTTTTTGGTCCTTGGAATCCCATTTAGATAATTGTCATATTTTATTTCATTCTTTTTGCAAAATATGGTGGTAACGCCACCTAACTGTTTATTCTTTGTACACTCCCATCATCCCTAGTCGCATGGACTCCATTGTCACCTTACAAGGATCGCAACTAGCATTGTCTCTTGGTGTTCCGCCTTGTTGCATGTGGGAGATGATGCTGATGCTTTGACCTGGTTCTTTGATGGTTGTCCCACATCGTACACATAACAGGAGCTATAAAATACAGCAGTGACCGCATTTCGCAAAAAATAGGTGTTGATCCTTTGTTTTTTATACACTCCCGTAATCTTCAGTCGCTTGACCCGATGGTTCACCTTATAAGGATAGCAACTAGCGTTGTCTCTTCTCTTGAACGTTTCACCTTATTGTATGCCCTTTTTCAATGGTTGTCTAGATATGAGCTATGTAGTAACATATATTTTGCGATATAAGTATTTTTATGTTGTCGGCCATTTGGTTTATCGGCCTTATGGGCTGTCGGCCTTATGTCCTTTCTGCCTTATGTCCTGTCGGCCTTTTGTCCATGTTGGCTTTTTGTCCCTGACGGCCTTTTGCCTTGTCGGCCTATTGGATGTCAGCCTTTCGTCCTACACCCCAAAAAAAGTTATTATTACAAATATTGACATATACAATACTAGAGAGCACGAATTAAGTTCTTTTTCAATTATGAAATAAACGATATTTGAAAGCTCCATTAAAGATACATTTACAAAATAGAATTGCATTCATGAAACGTCTAGGAGGGGTTTCCAAACTACGGCCGGCCCGCAAGATCCTCTCATCAGGCCCGCGGAGATCTTTTTGTCCACGGAAAAAATGTCCGTTAGAGGTGGCTGAGGAACTTTGCCCAGAAAATTCAAAACAATTTGAGCCACCGTGTTGCAGACATTGGTGAAAACATCGTGACTCAAATAGCGAAAAATGCAAGCACGTTTCACTATTTGTAATTGCAATGGATGAGTCGCTGGACAGCTGTTCCATCTTTCAACTGCTTGTGTTCATTAGGGGTGTGGACGAAGACATGAACATAACACAAGAGCTGGCTTCCCTACATAATATGTATGGCACTGTTAACGGAGAGGATATATTCAATGAGTTAAAGAAAACATTTGCTGATTATAACTTGGACTGGACTAACCTCAGTATATATTTATATATAAATTATATTTAGTTGGGGGGGGGGGGGCGAGGCCGGTGAACTTTTTCGGGGGGGGGGGGGAGGGGCTCCATAACACCGAAGATATGCATTGAAGAAACTATGGCCCCCGGACTGATATTTGATAGTCAATGCGGCCCTCGGTCTGAAAAGTTTGGAGAACCCTGGTCTATAGCTTTCAAATAAAATAACAATATGATACTAAATAATGTTTGAATTCAATTTGATTTTTAATGTACACTGCACTTCTATCATATAATTTTTTAGCTATATGCTTAAAATCAATAAATATTGTTTTAATTATAGTTTAATTGCGTAAGAGAAATACCGTCAAGTTACAATCCTACAATTCTAAAGATGGCTATAGCTAAAAACTCAATATCAATTCATGAATGCATATTAATAACATTACAATATGAAATAACAATAATGTTTCCAAAAAAAAGATTAAATAACAGATATTTACATATGTTTTCGCAAATACCATAAAAACCATTATTTTTTTGGACTAATGTCCAGTTATAGTTTTTAAAAAATTATACAATATACAAAAAAGCAAATGCTAAAGAAATGATAGGTTTCATATATTTTTCTAAGAAGTATATTTAAAAGCATCATACATTTTACTAAAAATCCAACTAGTTTGCGAAATGTTTTCGAGAAATAGGGCGTTTCCTGTATCATACATGATACAATTACTGAAAGCATTGAACTATGTTTGGCCCATCGTGTAATATATGACCAGTGTATTGACCGGTACGGACAATTTTAAACTGTCGAAACGTGTGTGGTGTCTGGCCTCAAAATACGTTTTCAATGTAATTTTTTTGTCTGTGATTCAATTTGAAGTTAAGGTGGTGATTTCGGTTTTGGTTTTAGTTTAGAGAAAAGAGACAACACTATCAGCATAGGGCCCGTTGTATCGTTCCTAATGGTCATTTATCTCGTACTTATAGATTTTGGAACCATACAAGTAAACATCATATTATGCATTGCTTCTAAATGGCATCGCATTGTTTTATTATAAGTAAAAAAGTAGAGTTTGTTTATATATATATATATATATATATATACATAAATTTATTTTATGCTTCGAAAAGTGTTTACTCATTCGCATAACGTAAAAAAAATAATATATACACGCACATTGCTAAAACAGATTGAACGGATTAATGTCCAATAGTATTTTCGCTTAGATTATTAGAAAAATTGGATACATTTTATTAAAAGTAGGGAAAAAAAAGTACGTAAAATGTTTAATAATTATGCCAGGGGAGGTAATTTGTAAAGAAATTCAACTCAGGATACTAACATACTAAACCGGGAGTGATCTTTCCCAAACTTTCGCGAATATTTTTATATAACATTACGGGGGATGGCAACTCGGAGAATAGACTTGATTTTTAATCCATTTTAAATTATTTAAACTTTTTAAACTAGTATAGAACCACGTAGAAAAAAGAATTGCGCACCAAGTGAACTTCAAACAATATGTGTATAGAGGTACGCAATATTATAGTAGGCTACTTTACAAATTCTCATGCGTTTTTTGAGAAATTGGAAACAGCATAAATTACCATTTCTGGTAAACGGAAATCACTAAAAATTTTAAGGAAGGCAGATCTTTGACTTATATGTGAAATTTCGTTCATCTATCTTAAACATTACTCAACTTATAGGATTTTGGAAAATTGAAAGTAGAATAACTTCCACTGCCGGTTACAGAACTACAAATGTGATATAATACTTATATCATACTTGTATATGAAATTTTATTAACTTAGCTGTAACGGTATTCAAGTTATCGTGTTTACACACACATATATGAGGTACCATGTGTCACATTGCAATAAAAGAATAACCGTAGGTCGCAGAAGTCCGAAATGTTCGGGTTAGGTAGATAAAAGGTCTTAGTGCCGAATTATGAAGATAGACATTTTAATAAGCAACATTTTTTTTTTAATCGAAAACATGTGTATCGTATATCCTTAAACTTGTTAAAATCGATTGTCAAAGGGACATAACAAAACGGCATCAACACCTAAGGTATAGAGGTAATGGAGAATTGTTTTACATGGAAAGCAGTTACTTAAGACTCTTGTTCATAATATTTTGCTGATTTAAACACATTCAAAACAGTTTCCGAATGGAAAATAACCGAATTATTTATCTGGATTTACGAACATACAGATAATAAACCAATTTAATGTTGACAACATTCTTCACAGTTTACCAAGAGATGCGGGCTTTTGTCAGATGTGTTTGTGCTCTGAGTCTCTACCTCTCCCTGACTTTGACCATCCTTTTTTTTTCTTTTACCTTGAGGGGTCCAGTGTTATTATATAGTCTTAATTTAATGCACGACTCAGCTAGGACCATCTTTGGTCTATCATTTCTAAAACTATTTCAATTATTAGGTTTTTAAGATCAGGGCCATTTTCATGGAATAAGCATGTTTTTGAATGTCAGCCACATTAAGCCACATGCTCGCTTCTCTCTGATATTTTCGATTTCAGCAGGGCGTCAAAAAGCTATCTGCCTGTCTTTAGCTTCAGAATATCCGTCCATGGCAATTATCTCAGTGTACAGGGGTCGGCGTGGTCGAGTCGGTAAAAGCTCATGGTTGCTAAACGAGTTCGA